TATATATATATATATATTCTTTGTATATAATTTCAGCCTGCTGAGAGCAAACCACTCACGAAATTAACTCAAATCTTCTCTAGGCCATTTCTATTATCATCACAAGTCTTCGCTTAATCACTTAAGCTTTTGAGAAAACTGGTTCTTTACTTGATATGAGAATTTCTTCATCACAAGTTAGGGTAGGCTAGTATATTTGTCCACCCTTCAAACCCAAAAAAGGGAAGAACTCTTGCGAGTTTGAGGGGAAACATGTTGGTTTTAGTAACATTCTTAGACTTCACCTAATAGCTTAAGCTTTTGGGAGAGTGCGATCTTTATTGGGAAAATTACTAGTTCAATGGCTTTGGTTTATGTATGGGAATGGCATCTTTTCCCTTTAATACTCGATCCTCTCCCCTGCTTTATTTTATACACAGAACATGAAACTCCTATTGAAAGGTAAGTAAGCTGTTACCCTGGGAAGATTACTATATTTTTGGATACTAGATTATTATCATATTTGATCACTTAGTTAATTTGTTCATCACTATATACATCGAATTTAGACAGCCTTGCATATCACGAATTGCACAGCCATTATTTGAGGTATCTCAAATTATCTTTGTCTGTCATTGTCATGTTTGTTAGCATAGATAGCTTTGTATTTTTATTGGTTCGATAATCTTTTGATTATGTGTATTGTATGTACTTCTGTTCAAGTTATATATAATTCCAAAAAACTCCAAGCGTGTGGTTTAGCGGTAGGGGTTGATCCACGCTTAAGTAAGGTCAGGGGTTCGAATCCTGCCTTGTGTATGCAGCCGCGTTAAATCTTGGGGCCAGCTATCCCACCCTTTGAGGTGCCTCCAACGTAGCGAGGAGATTAGTCACTGCTGTCGGCGGTGGATACTCCAGGGACGAACCAAAAAAAAAAATATATAATTCCAAATTGCTTCTTTTAATTTATATCCATTTGTGTGGTTTCTGCAGCAGATTTGTGAATTCAATTCTGGCTTTTAACTTCTTATTTCGGTTTTAATCTTTGCACACATATTATACTAATTTTTAAAGATCCCTTGTTTGGTAATTATCATAGTAGTTTGCATCTTACTTTTCTATTGATGCATTTCAGAACGAACCAGCTGGGAAGATTTTAGAGCTTTCTATTCTTCACTTGGCCATGTCCGAAATGGCAGTGCTAGAAACAAGACACCAAATCGTTATTAATGAGGTACACCTTAAGTTTATGTGACGAGAAACAGATGTCACAACCCAAACTGAGCAATGAACAGTGTATAAATTTAGCTAACCAAACATGACTTAACCTGGTCTATCTATCACCAATAAAATAAATAACACATAATGTATATATTTGTGTTGAAGGCTGTAGATCTCGCCAAACGGTTTTGTGATGGAGCAGCCCCTCGCATCATTAACGGCTGTCTCCGCACATTTGTCCGAGAAATGGAGCTTGAGGCATCAAACAACCTGGTTTAGTTGATGATCTCCACGTACATTGTCCATTCGTTGTCTTCGGATCGTTGAGAAATGAAAATGTTGTCTTGACGTACATTTCAGGAATATCCGATAACTTGCTTATAGAATGATATGCAAAGGTCTAAAATAGGAATCCTGTTGTTTGACACGGGTAGTTATTATGACATTGAGATATTGTTGTCGTGTCTATGTAATCTTAATGTATGTTGCCTCGGGGATTTTGTAATAAATTTTGTTTAAGTTAAAAGAAAAAAAAAACTTTAGAAACATTGAGGTTATTATATTCATAATTTTAATGAGATATTCTATTTCCTAATTTAGGTCAAGTGATAACAAAACTCAACTATTAATTTATAATAATAACTTTCAATTGTATATTAAAAAAATTTATTATTGGCTTGAGTTGATACGAGTGACAATAAATTTATATTATTTAATTAAGTAATCAAAATTTGAATTAGGGAGATTGTTTTCATGTTCAACAAAGAATATTTTTTTGATAATAAAAAATATATATTAAGGAAATCCACTGATTTAGTGGTTAGAGGCTATTATTATAGGTAGGAATGTAGAATTCAATTCTCATATTTTATATTTTGATTATTTTAATTTTATTTTTATATGATACATTATTGTATTATGTTGTCATCTACTTAATCAAACATTATATTATTTATAAATATATAAGAATTGCTAGATTTTTCACAAAAGAATTAATAGACCGATCAAATTTATAATATAGAATAAGATCTTTTGAAATATTCTCAATAAAAAAGAAAGTAAGTTTTTGACTGAGTACAAAATTTATAAGTGGAAGAATATTGGTTCGAAAATATCATAAAGAAGATTGAAACTTGGATGAAAATATTAAGCCATTTTCAAAATCTTGAGAAATTTTGTTTAATAGCAGACAGATAATAATCACATGGAAAACGTGACCAACTTGAAAACAGTTGTTGTTTTTTTTTTTTTTTTTTTTTTTTTTTTTTTTTTTAAAGATAGATCGTCCGAAAAGTGTTCTGAAAATTATTTCGAATAAATAAAATATTATTTTTAATTAAAAAAATATTAAATAAAATAATTATTTTATAATAAATTTATTATAAAATATTAATATTTTATCATTTCAGAACATGATTCAGAATCTGTTTTTGAAGGATGAAGCACGACTCTTTTCTTTTTTCAGTTACGTCAAAGAAACATTTGGCAATAGTTATGAGGAGTTAGTACTTCAATTCTAACTTATAACTATTTATAAGTATAATTATTATTTTCTTTTATTGCTTATCGATTTATAAACTTTATTTTTTCTACAATAATAAATAATATGGACTAAAATGGAGTATAAGTTATATGTACAGAAATTAAAATGAAATAACTTTAATTACATAAACCGAAACATAAAATTTTATGAATTTATAAAGATTAAATGATAATTTATTTCTTTTACCAAAACTGTATTGTGCTGTCACGTTGGACGTCACTACTCAACTACTCAAATTTCTTAATAATTATTAAAAATTAAAACTGCAATTCGTTGGTTATCTTAATCTAAAAAATTTAATCTAAAAAATTTCATAAAAGTTGTGACTTAAAAGAGATAACATTAAGATATGTTTATAAACTAAAATAAAAATAAATATTTACATTTAACGACATAGATAAAACCAATAGAAATTTCATATATTTATTTTTAATAATTAATTTTAGATACTAATGTGATAATATGTTTATTGTTAGTAAAACTTATATTAACAATCAAAATGAAATTGATATACTTGAAATTAATAACTTCTTACAAAATCAAAACAAATAAAATTTTATATGTGAGATTATTGACTATTGTGAAGTTATTTTAAAAAATAATTATGTAAATGAAACAGTTTTAAAATTATTTACACTGTTCAAATTGTTTCTTGTAAAGTTATGGTTTATAGTGATTCAAGTATCACATTTAATTATTTTTTTCAAATGATGGCTTTAGTCTATTCATGCTTAAGTTGTCACAGTTAATAACAACTTAAATAGTGTCGCTACCAGCTCCACTAACTTATCAAAATGATTAATTTTAAAAAAAATTATTTTTGTAGAAAAAAAAAAATATTTTAAATGGATTGATATAAGTTATAACGACTCCAAATATTTTTCTATATAAATCTAGTTTATCATTAAGTATTTTCTTGATAGTTGAACTACGATAATTATGTTTTACATGGAAGTAAAATAAAGATAGGTTAGATGCTGATACTTACGGGGTCATGTTATTTACATATAGTTTGATATTATTTTTATGAGAGTCGTAATTGTTTGACTGATAACTTAAGATTTATTTATTTTCTTGGTTAGGTTAATAAAATTATATTATATATAATTGTTTAATTTAATTAACGTTTTTATATATATATACAGAGAGAGCACACATTTCTTAGTAACTATAATAAATAATAACAATAATAATAATAATAATAATAAAATAATTCCCAAAAAAAAATATAAAAAAAATAAAAGTGAATATTAAAAATAAGGGAGGATAAAAGTATAATTTAAAAATCAAAATAAAAAGGAAAAGAAAGAGAAAAAAACATTACAAGTTAATGAATCCTGAGGCGCGACTGCGATCGAGTAGGGTGCAACAGTGAAGAGCTGGCTTCGGGGGTTTACTCCGTGATTCAAATGGGAGATGGCTTCAGGGTTATTTTGGTAATATTGGTGAGACCAATATCTTGCCGGCAGAGTTACTTGGTATATTAAAGGGGTTGCAGATTGCATGGGACATGCATGTATCGAATGTAGTTTGCATTTCGGATTCCTTACATGCATTAAATCTTATCCAACATCCACCTCTAGTGTGGCATGTGTATGCTACCATTATTGCTCGAATACGGGACTTTACTAGGGAGGATTGGCGGTTAGAGTTTAAGCATACTCTTCGGGAGGGCAATAGTTGTGCGAATTTTTTGGCTAAGCGAGAAGCAGCAGTAGATGAAGACCTGATCATTCTTGAAGCACCTTTAGCGAAACTTTCAATGCTTTTAGATGCTGATATTATGCGGGTGCCTCAAAAGAGGCTGTAAGTTACCCTTTTCTTTCTTTTTGTTGTTTTGATCGTTATTCACAAAAAAAAAAAAAAAAACCATAACAACTCTACAATAAACAATTTGAACGGTGTAAATAATTTTAAAACTGTCTCATTTACATAATTATTTTTTAAAATAACTTCACAATAGTCAATAATCTCACATATAAAATTTTATTTGTTTTGATTTTGTAAGAAGTTATTAATTTCAAGTATATCAATTTCATTTTGATTGTTAATATAAGTTTTACTAACAATAAACATATTATCATATTAGTATCTAAAATTAATTATTAAAAATAAATATATGAAACTTCTATTGGTTTTATCTATGTCTTTAAATTTAAATATTTATTTTTAGTTTATTTTATAAACATATCTTAATGTTATCTCTTTTAACTCACAACTTTTATGAAATTTTTTTAGATTAAGATAACCAACGAATTGTAGTTTTAATTTTTAATAATTATTAAGAAATTTCAGTAGTTGAGTAGTGACGTCCAACGTGACAGCACAATACAGTTTTGGTAAAAAAAATAAATAAATTAGCATTTAATCTTTATAAATTCATAAAATTTTATGTTTCGGTTTATGTAATTAAAATTATTTCATTTTAATTTCTGTACATATAACTTATACTCCATTTTAGTCCATATTATTTATTATTGTAGAAAAAATAAAGTTTATAAATCGATAAGCAATAAAAGAAAATAATAATTATACATATATAGAAATTAATATAAAATATTTATAATTATGAGTTCTAAAACATAAAATTTATAAAATTATATAAATCAAAAGTTTAATTAAAAAGAAGGATTTAATTATGTATTTAGTTTTTATATTTTCATCAACTTTACCTTTTAATTTTTATAATTAAAAATGTTTCATTTTAGTTATTATATATATTATTTTTATTTATTTTAATTCTTGTCTATTCTTATAAGAACTGAAAAATAAATTTTAAGAATTTATAAGACCTAAAAAAATAAAAACAATACGTAAAAAAAACTAATATAAATATTTTTAGTTATAAGAAGATCAAATTGATAAAATTATATGTCTAATTAAAAATAGAAAAATGAAAACACATTGATAAAGTTAATGTTGAAAATGACGCATCAAGTTAAGTTTCTTGACTTTTTTTTAGTTAGGATTTAGGGTCTAATATGATTTTTTTTATAATTTAGATTCTTTCATACAAACTTATATTAAGACGATTTTGCTTTTAAGGATTTAAGATCTACTTTGATTTTTCTCATATTTTATATTTTTCCAATGTAGACTTGCGATGAGATAAGGAAGACGAATGTGTAATCTACTAAAAACTCTCAAAAAGATTGATGGCTGACTCTCACTTTATATGAGATAATATCTTATCCTAATATAAATTTTTAATATTAAAAAATTAAATTATATTTTTAGTTCTCTTATTTAATTTTAAAATTTAATTTAGTCTAACTATTTTTAAATAATTTAATTTAGTTTTTTAATTTTTAAAGTCCTTACGTCTAAATTAACACTAACAATGTTGATTAAATTATATGAAAGGACAACATTGAATATTTTTTGAAAATTAGAAAATCAAATTGAACATTTTAAAAATACTAAAAATAAATAAAATATTTTAAAAATAGTAGCATCAAATTAAATAAAAATTTATCTAACATTTTTTTATCTAGATAAATTTGAAGTGGTGGGGACAACTCCCATTATAGATGCTCTTAGTAACTATAATATGTCGTTATCGGTGTCATTTAAAAAAAAATAATAATAATAATAAAATAATTCTCCTAAAAAAAAAGTGAATATTAAAAATAAGGGAGGATAAAAGTATAATTTAAAAATCAAAATAAAAAGGAAAAGAAAGAGAAAAAAACATTACAAGTTAATGAATGCTGAGGCGACTTCGATCGAGTAGGGTGCAACGGTGAAGCGACCCATTGTGGGTTTGAATCAACCTCAGTGAGCGGCTGTGTGTGTTGTTCTGTTGGAAGCAGCGACTCAATCCCTAATCTCTTCTGAGTTTGGAAATGTTGGGTGGGCTATACGGAGACCTTCCTCCGCCCTCGTCGGCGGAGGAAGACAACAAGCCAACTCCCAATG